TAGTACAGCTTGGCTGGTTCATTCCTAACCACCTTCTGTCACAATCATGTACTGCATTCCAACCCCCTCTGCCTAATTCCTTATTAACTCAACTACATTTTCAGTAACTTGACTACTTTCTACACTGCAGCTAACCAGCTAAGAATTTCTCATCAAAAGTAAATGGTATTCTGGCTTGCAAATCAACTTCTTAAGAGTTTGGTAAATATAAATGTTACCCTGAAACTGAATCTGAACCCAGTAAGCAAGTGATCACCTCTAAGCTGAGAACCAAATCCTTTGCACTGTGGTTACAGCAGAGACTATCAGCTGCCTAAATACTTCCTTAATAATAAAATTCTGATTTTATTTAGACTAGTTTGCTGCCTTTCTTCCAACTATATTGCAACCACATGCCTCCCCATACTCTGAAGAGTTCCTTTGGCTGGGTGAGGTGGCTCACGCCTGTAATCCTAGCACTCTGGGAGGCCGAGGCAGGCAGATTGCTCGCGGTCAGGAGTTCAAAACCAGCCTGAGCAAGAGCGAGACCCCGTCTCTACTATAAATAGAAAGAAATTAATTGGCCAAATAATATATAGAGAAAAAATTAGCTGAGCATGGTGGCGCATGCCTGTAGTCCCAGCTACTCGGGAGGCTGAGGCAGGAGGATTGCTTGAGCCCAGGAGTTTGAGGTTGCTGTGAGCTAGGCTGACACCACGGCACTCACTCTAGCCTGGGCAACAAAGCGAGACTCTGTCCCCCCCCCCCACGCCCCCCGCAAAAAAAAAGAGTTCCTTAAAAAGGAGACACACAGCAGAATGAACTCCTTTTTTCCTTCCTTCTTCTCCACACCTGCAAGATGGATGTAATCGCTGGAGTTCCACCATCGTTGTATACCATATGGATGGTGGAAAAGAAAGGAAGAGCCTGGGTCTCTGATGTTCATGGAGCTGCCGTATCAGTCTGGACTACATACTCCTGAATTTCCTTTATATGAGATAATAAACCCTCATGTGTTTAAGCCATTGTAGTCAATCCCTAAATGATAAAATGATGAGCCCACCTAACATGTTTTTCTCCTATGAAGACTTGTGTGAACAGGCTAGAAAACATTTTCTTTTTCTTTTTTTGAGACAGTCTCACTCTGTTGCCCAGGCTAGAGTGCCGTGGCATCAGTCTAGCTCACAACAACCTCAAACTCCTGTGCTCAAGCAATCCTTCTGCCTCAGCCTCCCGAGTAGCTGGGACTACGGGCATGCGCCACCATGCCTAGCTAATTTTTTATATATATATTTTTAGTTGTCCAGCTAATTTCTTTCTATTTTATACTAGAGACGGGGGTCTTGCTCTTGCTCAGGCTTTTCTCGAATTCCTGACATGGTGCAATGTTCCAGCCTCAGCCTCCCAGAGTGCTAGGATTACAGGCGTGAGCCACCGTGCCCAGCCTAGAAAACACTTTCTTTGAGATCTCTTTAACTATAAGAGATATCAAATCATCTTAGTTGTAAAATTTAGGAAAATCTTAGATTTTGTTAGAAATAATTGCTTAAATCATTGTAAGGAATAAAATGTTATAAAAAAATGTTTAAATAATCCCAAAACAAAATCTGCTCATCTTAAAGGCCAAACCCTTAACATTTTGTCAGTGACTTGCAATTAGTGACTAATTTTCGCCTAACCAATTGCATTCCTGGTGTTGTAAGATATTTTCAAGATACAGCACAGATTTTCTAGGCCACAGTATGGAGTTTGCAAAGTATCCCAAAATTCAAAATCAGATTTTTTCCTAAGATATTATTTTTAGGATATCTAGTCACTGTATTGTCATGAACTATCAATATAAATATGATCTTCCTTGGTCAGAGACAGCTAATAAAAAAAAGAAAGAAAGGAAGGAAAAAGATGGCCAAGCGCGGTGGCTCACACCTATAATCTTAGCACTCTGGGAGGCCGAGGCAGGTGAATCGCTCAGGGTCAGGAGTTCGAAACCAGCTTGAGCAAGAGCAAGACCTCATCTCTACTAAAAATAGAAAGAAATTAATTGGACAACTAAAAGTATATAGAAAAACTTAGCCAGGCATGGTGGTGCATGCCTGTATTCCCAACTACTCCTTGGGAGGCTGAGGCAGGAGAATCACTTGAGCTCAGGAATTTGAGGTTGCTGTGGAGCTAGGCTGATGCCATGGCACTCTAGCCTGGGCAACAGAGTGAGACTCTATCTCAAAAAAAAAGAAAAAAAAAAAAGGAAAGAAAAAAATATTAATTTGAGATGGAAATCTCATAGGATACAAGCTGAATACTTGCAGTGATCCACTATTAGATTAGTGTTGTGATTAAACAGAACATCTCTAACATTAAGGCCGGGTGCAGTGGCTCACGCCTGTAATCCTAGCACTCTGGGAAGCTGAGGCAGGAGGATTGCTCGAGGTCAGGAGTTCAAAACCAGCCTGAGCAAGAGTGAGACCCCGTCTCTACCATAAATAGAAAGAAATTAATTGGCCAACTAATATATATAGAAAAAAATTAGCCGGGCATGGCGGCCCATGCCTGTAGTCCCAGCTACTCGGGAGGCTGAGGAAGGAGGATTGCTTGAGCCCAGGAGTTTGAGGTTGCTGTTAGCTAGGCTGATGCTACGGCACTCACTCTAGCCTATGCAACAAAGCAAGACTCTGTCTCAAAAAAGAAAAAAAAAAAAAAAAAAACCAGCCTGAGCAAGAGCAAGACCCTATCTCTACTAAAAATAGAAACAAATTAATTAGCCAACAAAAAACATATAAAAAAAAATTAGTCAGGCATGGCAGCGCATGCCTGTAGTCCCAGCCACTTGGGAGGCTGAGGCAGAAGGATCGTTTGAGCTCAGGAGTTTCAGGTTGCTGTGAGCTAGGCTGACGCCACGGCACTCAACAGAGTGAGACTCTGTCTCTCCCTACCCCCAAAAAAGAACATCTTTAACATTAATACAACATATATCAACTACATTCCACAAAATACTTCCAAATAACATAATTAGAGAGTTAATAGAACAGTGTCAGGAATATTAAACAACCCTAGTAATTGGATTTAACTTGGAGAGAATTATGGGTCCAAATTCAACCAATATTTATTGACCTTATAATGCTAGACATTTTCTTGTTATCTCATTTAACTCACAAACACTCCATTTTTTACTTCTGTTCAGGAAGGCTGAATTTCCCAAGGTCACAGGACTAGTAAAAGATAAAGCCAAGATTTATTTCTTTTTCATTTTTTTTTTTTAGACAGAATCTCACTGTTTCCCTGATAAGAGTGCCATTGTGGGCTGTGCCTGTCATCCCAGCTAATTACAGAAAAAATGTCTAATTTTTTCCATTTTTAGTAAAGATGGGGTCTCGCTCTTGCTCAGGCTGGTCTCGAACTCCTGACCTTGAGTGATCATCCCGCTTCTGCCTCCCAGAGAACTAGGATTACAAGTATGAGCCACCTTGCCCAGCCATTCAAGAGGCTTGAGAAAGCTTTCACTGATCATCTTTAGATGTCCATTTGTTTTCAGATCTCCTTCACTCACTTTTAGCTTCCTCCAGTTACCCAGTGTCCCCTGGAGTGTTCAGTACAGTCTAAGACCCCATCTTCCCGAGAGGGTTCCATTTCTTGGCTCTTTCATTTTCACTTTTCCATCATGCCAGTCACTATTCTGTGTCCTGCTCTTTCAAAGGGGTTGCTCTCTTACTCTGAATAGTTTGTTATTGGAATTATGAAAGATTGTTAATGTATTATAATTGCCTGATGACTTGATTTACTAGAATGAACACTATTTTTTCTTTTCTTTTTTTGAGACAGGGTCTTACTGTCACCCAGGCTGGAGTGCAGTGACATGATCACAGCTGAAACTCCTGGGCTCAAGTGATCCTCCTACCTCAGCATCCCTGTTAGCTGGGACTACAGGTTCCCGTGGCCTCATTAAGCTCATTTTTGTTGTTGTTGCAGTTGAGACAGGTCACTATGTTGCCCAGGTTGGTCTCAAACTCCTGGCCTCAAGCAATCCTAGCGCCTGGGCCTCCTAGGGTAGGTCTGGATCTAACTCATTCACAATTGGAACTTCTGTGCAAATCCCAGTTCTAAGGGAGCACAAAATATTTGTAGAATGGAACAAGCTCTCAGATTTCACACTAAGATGTGACTAAAAGGGAAGGTTTCTGTCTTGTTATTTTAAGTGCCTAGTAATTGGGTTTAAAGTCCTTCATTTACCACTTGGGGCAGATGGGAACCTCCCTAATTTTTGTTTGTTTAACCTTTCAGCACCAGGGTTAAATTTTCAACTTCATCTTAAAGCGACAACATAGCTCTTTTTTCAAACAAAGGACGTAATGCAAGACCAAATGCAAAACAGAAGAGGAAAGAGCTCTAGCTGTCTGACACAGAAATACCACATTGCTTCCAAATCCAGGACTACACTGAAAGAGATGGGAAAGCTGTGCAAACTCTAGTGACACCGTAACCTCCTCCCAAGTCCCGCTGCGCCCCCTACGATTATTCCCCAGAGGCTGAGCAGGACGACTTGGGTCCCACCAGCAGGACTCAGCTGTGCCCCCGCAAAGGCGTCCGAAACTCTAGCTGGGGCAGCTCTGGGGCAAATGCTGGAAAGTTCCGCGATGCCCTCTGAGGTCAGAGAAGCTAGTCAAGAGCCCAGTCCCCTGCCCTCATCCTCGTGGACAGCCCCGCGGCCTCCCTCAGCTCTCAAGCGCCCAACCCTCCCTGACCACAAAGTCCTCCTGCATCTGTTGTCACTTCGACTCCCAGAAAGGGGCTGTAACTTAAGCTGGACGAGGGGTGGGGCGGAAGCTTGAAGAGCGTTCACTTAGGAACCACCCTGACCCAGCACGTCTCCCGGCGGCCTCGGCGGTAGGGTGGGGCAAGGCCAAAGAGACTCCGCTTCGCCGATTCTCCCCACCCTAGGGCGGGCAGCGCCGCGCCAGCTCCCTTCACTCCGCTCCTCTGCTCGCTACTCCCTTTCCCCGGCGCGCCCCGCCGGACGCACCATGGGGCCTCCACGCCAAGTCCCCGGATGCTCCCCTCCCTTCGCCCCGCCCCCGCTGCAGTCCCGCCCCCGCGCGGCTCTGCGTGACACGTCACCGCTTGCGGCGCTTCCGGAGGCGCAGCCGGCGATGACGTAGAGGGACGTGCCCTCTATATGAGGTTGGGGAGCGGCTGAATCGGCCTTTTCCGCCCGCTCCCCCCTCCCCCCGAGCGCTGCTCCGGCTCCACCGCGCTCGCTCCGAGCTGCCGGCTCCTGCCAAGCCAGCGCCGCCGTCGTCTCCCTTCAGCCGCCATCATGATTATCTACCGGGACCTCATCAGCCGTGAGTCCTCACTGCACTGTCCCTGCTGCCGCACACAGGGGGCGAAGGGGCGGTGGGAGCGGGGAAGGCGGACGCCGCCGCCGGCGTGGCCTGGGAACGCTGGCGGCCTCTCCGCGAGCTAGGGGGAGGGTCGGTGCCCAGGGCACGCGCCGGGGTCGCGAGCGCCCGGGGAGGGCGGAGGCCGCGAGCGTCCGGCCAGCGCGGGAAATGGCGGCGCCGGCTCCCGGCCTCGGGCGCGCTCTGACCGGCGGGTCTGTGTCCCCGAACAGATGACGAGATGTTCTCCGACATTTACAAGATTCGAGAGATCGCAGACGGCCTGTGCCTGGAGGTGGAGGGGAAGGTGAGTCGGCCGGGCATGCGCGTGCGGGAAGCGAGGCCGGGCGGGCTCGGGTTTCCGCCGCTCCCCCGCCCGAGGTTGTGCAATCCTCTCCGCCACCTCCTGGCGGAGGAGACTCTTTCCGGGCTCGGGTTTTTCTAGAAAAGTGGAGGCGGAGCGGAGCCTGAAAATAGGTCCGCCACCTCGGCGCCCATCCCCCTCTCGGGGCTGTCCCAGGACATGTTGTGTTGGGTAGCACCAAGCCCTTAAGCATGTGCCGTGCCGCCCGGGACCCCACAACTGGAAAAAACTTTTGCGTGCTTGTAAATGACCCCATTTTTGTACGGATCAACAGTTAGTTCCTGTTGAGGTAAGCCTTTTCAGGAAATCCATGAGTCACAGAATTTTTTTCCCATATGGTGCCTTCCCGGCTTTCAATAAGAACTTAAACCGTTTTGTTGAGAGGGTGATGGGTGTATGAACTGCTGCTATAGATGTTTTGGATTCTTTTTTTTATTATTATTTTGCCATTAAGCTGCTTTTTCTTAAATGCAGATGGTCAGTAGGACAGAGGGTAACATTGATGACTCGCTCATTGGTGGAAATGCTTCCGCTGAAGGCCCTGAGGGCGAAGGTACCGAAAGCACAGTAATCACTGGTGTTGATATCGTCATGAACCATCATTTGCAAGAAACCAGCTTCACAAAAGAAGCCTACAAGAAGTACATCAAAGATTACATGAAGTCAATCAAAGGCAAACTTGAAGAACAGAGACCAGAAAGAGTAAAACCGTTTATGACAGGGGCTGCAGAACAAATCAAACACATCCTTGCTAATTTCAAAAACTACCAGGTAAATACCTTAAATATTCAGACATAAACATTGTACAATTTTAACTGCAAGGGCAAAAGGTTAGTTGCTTCATTAATCTTTAAGTAATTTAATTGTGGCTTTGAGCTGTTTAAATACTTACTAGCTTCATTTTTACATTAAGATTCCAGGTGTAGAAAGTAACCTTCCCTGTTGATAAGTATTTCCAGAACCTATCTCATATTTCAACAATTTCATTCCTCCTTGCTTCCCAGATGACATTTTTCAGTTCTTCCTTTCTTGGGTTGCTCTTTAATCTCAAGTGTTCTTCAGTTTTCTGTTGCCACTGGTGTTCTTTTCTGATATATCTTAGCTTGTTAGTCCTGTTTTTGGAAAACTTCAGTGACTAAGATTTAATTTGAAAACTACAGCCTGGCTCTTTCATTTTCTAGCTTTCACACACATCCCCTGGCTATAAGACACTTCCCTGTATGTTCTGCTCTTTCTATCATTGTCAGCCTTCTGTTGCCTGTGCTTGACTACATAAGCAGGCTTGCAGGGTTTGGAGTTGTATCTTAGGGGTTAAAAGAATAAAAGTTTCCAGAAGGCCTCACTTGGATTGCTCTGTACTCATTTTGGTCATTATTGGTCCCTTAAGCAGGTGAACAGATGTTTGTGATGAGTGAGCATTTCTCTTAGGCATTAGAGCTTTTAGTTGTGGAAATTCTCTTGAAACATTCTTTGTAGTTTTATACAACAGATTTATATATAATGGTCTAATTTTGGGTATTTGTTTGCTTCCCAAGTTCTTTATTGGTGAAAACATGAATCCAGATGGCATGGTTGCTCTACTGGACTACCGTGAGGACGGTGTGACCCCATATATGATTTTCTTTAAGGATGGTTTAGAAATGGAAAAATGTGTAAGTATGAGCAAGTGGGTTGAATGGAGATATTTTAGGTGCATTTCTCAGTGTTTTCATGGTACTGGGATAGTTAGAATGTGTTCTATGGTATTCCTTTTAATAAAACATGTGTCTTATTTTTGTTTCTCCGTGTGTAAAAGATTCTTACAGTACAAAAAGGCATAGAATCTTGATTATTTATAGAAAACTGAGTATAATAGCATTTTAAAGCACAATTTAAAGACTGAACTGGAGATCAGAGACAACACTGTTGATTTCCCCCATATATGTGGTTTGACTTTTACTTTTGATATTTGTTTTGCTACATTTGCATGAGTATCAAGGGTTTACACCTTCACTTAATAATTGGCAGGTGATCATTTAAAGCCTTAGGACATTATTTTTAGTAAATAGCTAAACCAACATGCAAATAGCTTCAATAGAGTTAGATAACTAATCACTGTGTACTATGCATGGAGCTGTACAGAAAAGAAAGCATTATTTTAGTTTTAATTTTCAAAGGTTTCTGTATATAAATTAGGAACTAGATAAACTTAAGGCTATCCTGAACAAGACTAGAGGCAATAGTAGATAAAAATTAGAACAGTATGAGACAGCTTGCCAAGGGGGGTTATTCAGACACTGATGTTTTTGTTGGTGAAATATAGTGTTTGTGGCACTTGTCTCAATTGAGACGTACCTCAAAAAGATGTGCAACCTCTGATTTGGTAAGATGTTCTGCATCCACTGATAGACCTTGAACAATTTGCTGTTGTTCTTTTGGTTTGCACTAGGATGCGAAAGAAAAATCCCTGCGCTTTCTGTCTGTCTTTGTGGCAGCCCAGATTGAATTGTGGAATACATCTGTAGCCTAAAAAATGTTGAGCGCTCCGATTGGGGAAAATGTTAATACAGTCTTCTTTGTTTTTACAGTAACAAATTTGGCAATTACTTTGGAACTATCACCTGTCATCATAACTGGCTGCTGCTTGTCACCCACACAACACCAGGACTTAAGACAAATGGGACTGATGTCATCTTGAGCTCTTCATTTATTTTCACCGTGATTTATTTGGAGTGGAGGCATTGTTTTTAAGGAAAAAACATTGTCATGTAGGTTGTCTAAAAATAAAATGCATTTAAACTCATTTTGAGAGAATGCCTTTTAGTTTAATACATGTTTAAACTAAATCCATCCTATAGTGTTCCTGGAGAAGCTAGAGCCTGGTTGTAGGCCACTACTAGAAAGCATAAGACTGTCATCAGATAAACTCTACAGTGGAAACTACTTCTGGGACTGGAATATAAAAAGGAATCAAAAGTTTTAATTCTGAGTTGCAGTAAAGGGAAAGACCATGCTCATAGTGCCAACACTTGAAGTGGAGCCTTAACACGTCTCATCACCTCCAATGGAAGTAGTAACTCTGGAAGAGATTACCAAGAGAATAAAAAGAGACTAATTCAGTTGGAAGCAAAGTATTGTCTGAGCTTATTTAACATTAATCAAGTAGAACCAAGTCTCCTGGAATGAATGTCAAACTCCCTGGTAACTAGAACGGGGATTGGCAAGCTTGGCCTGTCCGCCACCTGTTTTGTACAACTCTGTGGTGGTTACATTTTTAAATGGTTGGGGGTTGGGGGAGGATACTGTGTGGGATATGAGATTTAAATCTTTGTCCAGTTTTATTGGAATGCTGTCATGCTTATTTTAATTTATGGATCGACTGGCAGTCACTGTAAGAACAGAGTTGAGCATGACAGGCAGTAGGACCCGCAAGTCCTAAACCATGCTGCCCTTTCATGAAGTTTGCCTGCCTCGCCTTTATGGAATGTATGATACATGGTGGGCAGATGGAAAAATAACATGTATCTGAAAGGACTGGGTATCAGAATGAACATGAAAATGCATCTCTGACAAACCTAGAGCAGTACTGTCTGCTGCTAAGTTTCCACTATAGATGCAAGAAAAATGTCCTCGCGCTTTCTGTCTGCCTGATTGTGGCAGCCAAGATTGAATAGAGGAATACAGAGAAAAAACATGGAGAATTTTCACAACTCAGGAATAGCCTTGTAGTGAAAAGCCTGTTTTACCCCAAAGAACCTTAGATTTTGAGCTTTCTTTAGAAGTGTTGGGAAATGTCCCTTGCCGCTGTCACCTGGTTGGTTACATTTGTAAAAGCTTAAAGGTTAGAACCAATGAAAAGCAAGTGACTTTTGGGTCCATTTGGACATGTGAATCCAGTGATTTAGCAATCTGGACTTTGCCCTGGTGACTTTAAAGTCCATAATGTCCAGAACCTGAGGCAGATACTAATCAGGTTATTACTGCCCTCTGGTGCTTGGAGAAAGCAAATTCAAATAGGTGTTGGAAACTAAAACTTGACAGTTTTAAGCCTTGCTGATGATTGCTGATGTTAAAATACAGGAAGAAGAGCCAGTCTCTGTTCTAGGAGGCCACTTGCTCTGAAACATACTAGCATGAATTTTCAGGCAGTGGTCAGTGCTATGGAAACCTGGTGAGACAGGGTCTTGAGGTAACATCTAAACTGAATCCAGTTGGTGAGAGAGCCAACTTCCAAAGTCTGAAAAGGCAGATAAAAATAGCAATGTGAAGGATCGGGGGTGCTGGTGGGACCTGGCCCCCCACCACAACTTGCAATGTTCTTTATAGCTGTATTGCCCCAACACTCGGATCCCATCAAGGTTTATACATTGTATTTTATGTCTAGCTTTTAATCCAGAAGTGATCAACCCCAGCTTTCATGGTGAAGTTTTGCAATTCCAGATAGTTATCTTTTAGGCTGCCCCTTATTTTCTTACTTTTTCTGGTTATTCCTAGAGTTAGGTAAGGGCATTCTGGGCAAAAATGATAGGTAATGTATACCACGTACACATCAGAGGCATACGACATTTTGTCACATTGATTCCAAGTTTCACACAGGCGTGTCCCTAGCCCAATGCCCTGGGGTTTGTTACATATGTGGAGGAAGAGGACTAATGTCTAGGAAGGGCCTTGCAATGTGACATTTGAATGCAGGTTTGAAGGTGTGGAAGTAGTGGATATCAGGACAGACCATTCCAGGCCAAGGGAACGGCAGATGCAGTCAAGTGCGCTTGACAAGTTCTGGGAACAAGGTGGCCACCATGCTGACCCAAGAAGGCAAAGGGAGGAGTTGAGGTAGAGAAGCTTGAGTGCATAGGGGAAGAGGACCAGATCACACAGGAAACTGGGTGGGAGGGCTTTAAGTGGAAGTTATCTGACAAATTTTCAAAGGCTCATTTTGGCTGCTGCGTAGGAGGGTAAAAGTATATAAAGTGTGTAGGCAAGGTGGCAATGGATTAGTCTAGGGTGGTAAGAAGTGGGAATTAAAGGTAGAGACAACAGGATATGCTGATGGGTTGGATGACAAGTGAGAATGAATTTAAGGTTGATGACAGGTATTTTGGCCTGAGTATTCGTATGGAGTTGACATTGAGATGGAAAGACTTTGAAGATTGGAAATCAAGAGTTTGGTTTTGAGGCCAGGAGCAAGCAGGCTCATGCTTGTAAACCTAGCACTTTGGGAGGCCAAGGTGAGAGGATCGTGTTAGCCCCAGGAGTTGGAGACCAGCCTGGGCAATAGCAATACTATCTCTACAAATAAGAGTTTGGTTTTGGATGGATTAAATTTGAGATGCTAATTCTTTATTTTATTTTGAGACAGAGTTTATGTTGCCTGGGCTAGAGTCCCGTGGCGTCAGCCTAGCTCACAGCAACCTCAAACTCCTAGGGTCAAGCAATCCTGCCTCAGCCTCCCAAGTAGCTGGGGCTACAGGCATGCACCACCATGCCCGGCTAATTTTTTCTAGATATTATTAGTCGTCCAGGTACATTTCTGTTTTTAATAAAGACGGTCTTGCTCTTGCTCTTGCTCACGCTGGTCTCAAACTCCTGGCTTTGAGTGATCCTCCTGCCTTGGCCTCCCAGAGTGCTAGGATTACAGGCGTGAGCCACCACAGCTGGCCAGCTAATTCTTTATTAAAATGAATTGGGTAGGTAGTTTTGAGTCTGGAGGAGAACAGACGTCTACACTGAAGAACTCGATTAGATAGTGGGAAGATCTCAATCCCTGATGAGGTCAGTTTAAGCATAAACTCATCCCTGGTAACCAGCCAAAGTGATTAAGAACAAACTTCCCCTGAGGTAAGAACCAATGCTGAGCTTCCCAAAGGTCAAGTCAACAGGATTATCTGTTGCAAATTGTTCCAGTGATACAAGGACTGGGAGTGGTAAACAACTGTTGGATTTCAGTAAAGGAGAAAAAAGCCTAATTAAAATGGGCTCAAAACATTCATAGACATCACTTAAATCATTAAAAGTTTTCCTTAAAATCTAGTTGAATTGCTAGATTTGTGTGGATGTAAATTCTATCGTTCTGAACTGCAGGGTTAGCCAATAATTCACTACAAACTAAACTGGAAGTGATAGTTACGGTAAAATTGCAAGACCAGCAACAAACCAATCAACTTGCAAAACCACTGATAACAAAGCATCCTTTGAAAATCTGCATGTGTGTATGCAGATGGAGAGGAGCAACCTTGGCTGGCAGCTTGAATATCCAGTAAAATGGGACTAAAACCAGGAGGATTTGAATTAATGGATACTACATCTTAGTGATCACTAATTTACAATTAGGCAGCTATTACACAACCCCTAAACCTATGGTAAAAGTACAGCTAACAGCCCACTGGTGCGCCACAAACCAATCCTCATAAAAGAGTTCCAGCTTTGTAGCAATTGGCATGTGTTTCTAGAGACTTGCCCACAAGAACTGAGAATGAAACATGATGGTTTTGAAAATGCGATATTTCATTATTCCAAAGGAAAAGTTCTTGATTAAAATTTAATACAGCCGGGCACGGTGGCTCACGCCTGTAATCCTAGCTCTCTGGGAGGCCGAGGCAGGTGGATTGCTCGAGGTCGGGAGTTCGAAACCAGCCTGAGCAAGAGCGAGACCCGTCTCTACTATAAATAGAAAGAAATAATTGCCACTAATATATATAGAAAAATTAGCCGGGCATGGTGGCTCATGCCTGTAGTCCCAGCTACTTGGGAGGCTGAGACAGAAGAATCACTTGAGCCAGGAGTTTGAGGTTGCTGTGATAGGCTGACGCCATGGCACTCACTCTAGCCTAGGCAAAAAGCGAGACTCTGTCTCAAAAAAAAAAATTTAATACAAGTAAAGAAAAAGGTGCCATACATCTTGTATTGAATAAAAGCTGCTGTGATAGCCATCTCAAAAAGATATATAATATAATAATATTTTTTTTTTTTTTTTTTTTGAGACAGCACTCCTGTTTCCTGGGTTAGAGTGCCATGGTGTCAGCCTAGCTCACAGCAACCTCAAACTCCTGGGCTCAAGTGATCCTTCTCCCTCAGCCTCCTGAGTAGCTGGGACTACAGGCATGCGCCACCATGCCTGGCTAACTTTTTTTATTTGTAGTAGCCCAGGTAACTTTTTTGTTTTTTAGTAAAGACAGGGTCTTGCTGTTGCTCAGGCTGGTCTCAAGTGATCCTCCCATCTTGGCCTCCCAGAATGCTAGGATTACAGGTGTGAGCCACCTTGCCCTGCCCAAGCTATATGCTTTAATCTTGGAGTTTGCATAGAAGTTAACAATCATAATAAAGCTGTTATTTTATTCCACCGAATTACTCCAAGGCCATCCACTTAGTCAATGAAGCAAGGATACATCAGACCCCTGTTCATGTCAGCAGTTCAAAGCAGATTTCACTACCATGGGAACTTTTTAAAAAAAAGTGACAGGGTCTCACTCTGTTGCCCAGGCTGGAATGCAGTGGCATCATAGCTCACTGCAGCCTTGAGCTCCTGTCCTCAAGCAATCCTCCTGCCTCGGCCTCCTAAATTGCTGGGATTACACTCTTGAGCCTCAGCACCCAGCTAGGGCATGTTTTTGACTGCCAGAACATTCCAGTTTATTTTGTAAGAGCCTGTAGACTGGATTTCTGCTGTTAAACATAGTTTCATATAATTGAACCTGGAAGTTGGCATTTAGATTTCTCCATACTCTGGGCTGTGAGAACCTCTGGAGTGCATGTGATTTTAGCTGGAGTCAATACAATTCAATGAGAAAAATGTCAAATATAAACTTAGGGGAAGATTGTTTCCAAAGTAATTAACTTGTTCGATGATGTTTCCCTCAATTACTTTCTGCCTCTGATGATACCCTTTACTTCTCCGTTTGTTTATACACACATTTCGATCTTTTCTGAGCTTAGAAGTAGAGCAGGGAGTGCGAGTCACAATTTAGAGAGAGGAAAATTGAGACATCAGGTGACTCCGACTGGGAATGGATACGCCAAAACCACAATTGTTAGTCGAAAGTTAAAGTTACAATTTTTTTCTTGTTTTATATTTTTAGACATGGAGTCCTGCTCGATTGCCCAGGCTGGAGTGCAGTGATGCGA